GGCTCACCGCAACCTCCGCCTCCTGGGTTCAGGCAATTCTCCTGCCTCAGCCTCCTGAGTAGCTGGGATTACAGGCACGCGCCACCATGCCCAGCTGATTTTTTGTAGTTTTAGTAGAGACGGGGTTTCACCGTGTTGACCAGGATGGTCTTGATCTCTTGACCTCGTGATCCACCCGCCTCAGCCTCCCAAAGTGCTGGGATTACAGGCATGAGCCACCACGCCCAGCTATTCTTTCTATTTTCTAACTATATTTTTGGATTCTGTAACCACCCTACTTCCCCACACTACCCTTCCCAGCCTGTAGTAAGTATCAGTCTACTCTCTATCTCCATGTGTTCAATTGTATTAATTTTTATTTCTCACAAATGAATCAAAACATGCAAAGTTTGTCTTTCTAGGACTAGCTTGTTTCACTGAACATAATGTCCTCCAGTTCCATGTATGTGTTTGCAAGTTGACAGGATCTCATTATTTTCTGTCTCTGAATAGTACTCCATTGTGTCTATGTTCCACATTTTCTGTATGCATTCATCTGTTGATGGATACCTACGTTGCTTCCAAATCTTGGCTATTGTGAGAAGTGATGTAACCAACATGGGAGTGCAGATACCCATCAGTATAAGGAAATCAATATACTGATTTCCTTTCTTTTGGGTATATTCCCAGCAGTAGGATTACTGAATCATATGGTATCTCAACTTTTATTTTCTTAGGGAACCGCCAAACTATTCTCCTTAGTGGTTGAATAATTTACATTCCCACCAACCGTGTAGGAGGGTTCCCGTTTCTCCACATCCTCACCAGCATTTGTTATTTCCCGACTTTCAAATATAAGCCATTTTAACTGGTGTGAAATGATATCTCAGTATAGCTTATAATTGCATTTCTCTGATGATCAGTAATGCTGAGCACCTTTTCATATGCTTATTGCCATTTCTATGTATTCTTCTGAGAAAGGTCTATTCAGATCTTTTGCCTATTTTTTCATAGGACTGTTAGATTTTTTCCCATAGAGTTGTTTGAGCTCCTTAAATATTCTGGTTATTAATCCCTTGTTGGATATATTGTTTGCAAATATTATTTCCCCATCTGTTGGTTGGCTTTTTAACTTGATGTGATCCCATTTGTCCCTGATTACCTTGGTTGCTTGTGCTTGTGGAGTACTGCTCAGGAAATTTTTGCCCAGACCAATGTCCTAGAGATTTTCCTTATTTTTTTTTTCCAAGACAGAGTCTCACTCTGTTACTCAGGCTGGAGTGCAATGGCGTCATCTGCTCACTGCAAACTCCACCTCCTGTATTCAAGCGATTCTCCTGCTGCAGCCTCTGGAGTAGCTGGGATTACAGGCACATGCTACCACTCCCAGCTAATTTTTGTATTTTTAGTAGAGACGGGGTTTCACTATGTTGGCCAGGCTGGTCTCAAACTCCTAACCTCAGGCAGTCCACCCACCTCAGCCTCCCAAAGTGCTGGGATTACAGGCATGAACCACCGCGCCCCGCCAAGTAATTACTCTTAAGTTCAAACTTCCAGAGATGCCTAGGACATAAACACAATGCAGCAAAGCACTTTGCTAGAGTATAGCATGGATGACCGTTATTCCAGCTTTTGATAACTTCCTCATTTCCATCAGAGACTTCATTAGCCTGGACTTCACTGTTGATATTCTTATCAGCATTTTGGATACAATCATTTAGTCTCTAAGACGTTCCAAACTTAACCTCGTCTTCCTGTCTTCTTTGAAGTCATCCAGACTCTTCCAACCTCTGCCCATTAACCAGCCCCAAAGCTGTTTCCACATTTTTAAGTATTGTTATCGCAACAGCCCACCCTTTGGTACCAATTTTCAGTATTAATCCATTCTTGCATTGCTATAAAGAAATGCCTGATACTGGGTAATCTGTAAAGAAAAAAGGCTTAATTGACTCATGGTTCTGCAGGCTATAAAGGAAGCGTGACAGCATGTGCTTCTGGTGAGGGTTTCAGGAAGCTTACAATCATAGAAAAAGGCAAAGGGGAGCTAGTGTGCCACTTGGTGAGAGCAGCAGTAAGAGAAGGAGAAGTGGGAAGTCTCTCATTTTTTAAACAACTAGATCTCATGTGTACTAACTGAGAACTCACTTGTCACCAAGTGGATGGTGCTATAGGATCCATGAGGGATCCACCCCTATTATGTAATACCTCTAACGAGACCCCACCTCCAACAATGGGACTCGCGTTTCAAGATGAGGTTTTGAGGGTGCAAACATCCAAACCATATTAACAGACATGTGCCCATATAGCTGAGTGAAAAGACACACATACTGCTAAGTGAAAGAAGCTAATGTGAAAAGACTACACACTGTATGATTCCAACTATATGACATTCTGGTAAAGACAATGGAAACAGTACAAAGATCAGTGGTTTCCAGGTTCAGGAAGAGAGTGAGATGAATAGGTGGTGGACAGATGATTTTTAGATCAATGAAACTATTCTTTATGATATTATAATACATTATGTATTTTTCAGTAGCCATAGAATGTACAACAGAAAAAGTGATACCTAATGTAAACTATGGACTTTAGGTAATAAAGTTAATAATAATGTATTGACATTTGTTCATCAGTTGTAACAGATGTATTACACTAATGCAAGATGTTATTAATAGGGGAAACTGTGTGTGGGAGGGTGTTGGAGGTATATGGAAAAAATCTACCTTCTGCCCAACATTTCTGTAAACTCAAATCTTCTCTAAAAATAGTTAATTAATTATAAACAAAAGGCAAACAACCCAGGTTTTTCTAATGTACAAAAGTCTTGAATAAACAAATTCACAAAAGAAGATATATCAATGGTAAATAGGTACATGAAAAGGTTCTTGACATCATTATTATAAAGGAAATACAATAAGATACCATTTTATTCTAAAATTTGAATGGCTATAATTTTTTGAATGCATAATTCTCAATGATATTGAAAATGCAAAATCACTGGAATTCCCATACACTGCTGGTGGGAATATAAAATGGTGCAACCACTTTGTAGAACTGTGTGGTAGTTTCCTTTTTGTTGAGACGAAACCTCACTCTGTCTCCCAGGCGGGAGTACAGTGGTGCGATCTTAGCTCACTGCAGCCTCTGTCTCCTGGGTTCAATTAATTTTCCTGCCTCAGCTTCCCAAGTAGCTAGGACTACAG